CCCCCCCCCTCTTTAGCCACTAGGCCTCACACTCCTCCCAGGGCTGTTCAAGGCCCCTCAGGTCCCACCTCGAAGGCGGGGGAGGGTTGGGTAAGTGTGGATCCACCCCAGAACTTACAAGTGGTCTGGGCAGCGAGGGGTTAAGCTGAGTGCTCTGGGGAGCGGGAGATCCGGGGTCCTGTGGGGGGGGCACACAGCCAGCAGGCTGACACACACACACCCAGCCCACTTCCCCGCCAACGGCCTAAACACACCCCTGGGCGGGGAGGGAAGGAGGCCGGGCCAACGCGGATGAGGGGTGTGTGATTCCTCCACACAACCTGGGGATGGGCCCTGCACCGGCTGCAACACAACACAGACCAACACACACACCCTGCTGGACCTGCACAACAACACTCCCTGCAACACAACACAGGCCAACACACGCACCCTGCTGGACTTGCACAACACTCCCTGCAACTCAACACAGAGAGCAACAAACACACACAACCTGCTGATCCTACACAACAACACTGCCTGCCACACAGCACAGATCAACACACACATACAACCCACTGGCCCAACACACAGATCAATAAACACACACACCACAGGCCCTGCAGCGCGCACACAGACACACAACACCCTGGCCACAACACCACCTGCTGCCACACAACACACAGATCAACATACACACACACACCCCACTGGCCCTAGACAGCCATATGCCCTGCGCCGTATGATGCAGATCAACAGACCCACACAACCCAACACACACAGCTCGCTGGCCCCGGATCCCGACACTCCCGTGCAGCCCCTCCTTCTGCCAGCACACACAGCTCCACACACACACACACACACACACACACACACACACATGCACCTTCCCAACACACACAGCTCAACACACACACACACAAACGTGTCCCCAACACGCTGCCTTCCAAAGGCAGGCTTCCCCACAACACACACACACACACATCACCTCCTGTCCCCAAGCAGGTGGGGGAGGGCTGTGGGGGCTAGTGGTTAGAGTCTGGGAGCCAGGACTCCAGCTGGCCCAGCCAGCAGGGGACACTGTGAGCGGGTCCCTAGTTGCACAGCGCCTGGGAGTCGCGTCTCTAAGGGCGGGTAGCGGGGCAGCCTGCGGCTGGGCTGGGCCTCCCCTTCCGGCCCTGACGCTAATGGCTTTGCCCCTCAGGGATGGAAGTTTTAATCAGGCCTCAGGGCTAATTGGCTGTAATTATCCCAGTGTTCATTAAAACTGCCTGGGGACACTAAGGTAATTACAGTGAGCAGCCACTGAGGGTGGGGTGAGCGTTAGAAACACCTACCAGGCACAGAGGGACCCAGAAGTCCTGGCTCCCAATCCCCCTGGCTCTCACCACTAGACCCCACTCCCCTCCCCGAGCCAGGAGAGATCCCAGGAGTCCTGGCTCCCAGCGTGCTGCTCCCCCCCGCGCTAACCACTGTCCCAGAGCTGGGGAACCCAGGGTGGACTGGTCAGAGTCGGGGCCGGAAGGGGGGGCAATGGGAGTCCCCATGCCTCTGGGTTCCCCTTTCCCAGCTAGCCTCCCTGCCCCACAGCGCCCCCTGCTGGGCAAGATCGGGGAAGGACCCTTGCAATCCCCTCCAACCTGTGCTTCTGGGCCTCCACCAGCAAGTCCTCGGAAGCCAGATAAGCTAATCGCTGGACCGCAGCCTGCGCCCTGCCCTTCAGCCAGGCCCCCGGGTGCTCCCCCGCCACCGAGTGCACCATTCCCAGCCCTGCCCTCCTGACCAAGCAGGCCACACCGGCTCCTCCATGTCTGCAGGGTCCCCACCCTGGGTCTGGCTCGGGGACAATCCTCGGAGCACGTTTTCTGCTCCTTCCTGCAAGGGCCAGGGCTGGCAGGCTACACCCGACCCAGTGGGGGTGTTGCCTTGAGACACAGCCTTCAGCATCTGTCCTAGTGGGATGGCTGTAGCGAGAAGAGTATCGGGTGGAACAGGGTAGAAACACCGTCACCCACAACAGTGCTACAAAGGCTGTTCCTGCAAACAGTGTTAGCAACACTGTAACACACTTTACAGTGCGCAGACACCCTTACTGCTCATGCTACAGCCTTACCCTCCACAATGCTACAGGTCCCATTACCGCAAGTGCTACCCACCGTGTGAGCAACACCATTACCCACAACGTTACCAACACCATTACTGTGATGCTACACATAGTGCTAGCGACATCGTTGCTGCTCACGCTGTTGCCAGAAATACTCCAAACCTTGTTATCCCGCACGTTGTTGCTACTAATAGAACAAATAGTAACGATACCACAAACACAGCGATGGCTAATGTTGTCAGTCATACTCCAACACGGTGACTCCCCATGCTGGGAACACTGTAACCCCCTGCCTTATGCTGCCAACATTGTTACTGATTGTAGGAAAGCGGTAGCTACAGCCAGTATAACCACTAATACTGCAATTACTTTGCTCAGTAATGTTACCACAACCCCATTTCTGCTCCCACTAATACAGCCATCCCTGCCACTCTGATTGTTACTGCTGATACTCCTTGTAACCACCATTACTACTTACAGTTACTACTCCATGACACCACTGTTACTCCAACGAGTTACTAGCCAAACGATCCCCCCCATATACTGAAGGGTTACTAGTGAAATCAATGCCACGAATACTACAGTTACCCCTAAAACTGACGTGAGTACTATTCTAAAGAGTTACTAATGGTCCAAAGAGTCACTACTCACATAGCTCTCATTGACACCACAAAGAATTACTAACACTCTGGCTGCTAGTCCAGTAGCGTCAGTGTTTCCGGTTAATACTCCTGCAGACACCCCTAATACGCCAAAGAGTTACTGATCAAAACAACAGCATTATTTCTACAGGCAACACACTGTCAATCAGTGGAACTCCTCGCCAGAGGAAGTTGTGCAGGCCAGGACTGTAAGAGGGTTCAAAAAAGAACTAGATCCATTCATGGAGGTTAGGTCCAACAACGGCTATGAGCCAGGATGGGCAGGTGTCCCTGGCCTCTGTGTGTCGGAGGCTGGGAATGGGCGTCAGGGGAGGGATCGCTGGATGGTTCCCTGTCCTGTTTACTATCCTGGAGCACCTGGTGTTGGCCGCTGTCGGCAGACAGGACGCTGGGCTGGATGGACCTTTGGTCCAGTCGGGCCGTTCTGATGTTCTACTCCAAGAAGTGATTAATACTCCGAATCGCTACCACTCAGCTCAATACTTCTAATACTGCAGAGAGCGACTCGTCAATCGGTGTGTCTCCTCCAGAGGCAGGAAGGCTCCTGAGACCATCCTGAGACCATCCTCCTTTTCTGTTAGTCTCTAAGGTGCCGCAGGACCATTCGTTGTTTCTTCAGCTTGGTCAGACTGCTGGCTCTCACACTCCACCCCTCGTACGCCGAGGCTGTGTCTAGACTGGCCAGTTTTTCCGCAAAATCAGCTGCTTTTGCGGAAAAACTTGCCAGCTGTCTACACTGGTCGCCTGAATTTCTGCAAGAACACTGACGATCTCATGTAAGATTGTCAGCGTTCTTGCGGAAATACTGTGCTGCTCCCGTTCGGGCAAAAGCCCTCTTGCGTAAATGCTTTTGTGCAAGAGGGCCAGTGTAGACAGCGCAGGACTGTTTTGCGCAAACAATCGGGGCTTTTTTGCGCAAAAGCGCGTCTAGATTGGCCACGGACGCTTTTCCGCAAAAAGTGTTTTTGCGGAAAAGTGTCCGTGCCGATCTAAACGCTCTTTTCCGAAAATGCTTTTAATGGAAAATTTTCCGTTAAAAGCATTTCCGGAAAATCATGCCAGTCTAGACGTAGCCCGATGGTTTCCTGCTCAAATCAAGCCCATTGATACCCCAGGTGGCTCCTTTTCACCCGCTAATACGCCAGAGAGTCACTCCAGAGAGTTACAACTCAAATGGGTGCCACTAAGTCTGACACGTTATGAGTCAAAGCAACCCCCGATACTCCAGCGAGTTGCTACTCCAAGGTACGTCTACACTACAGAGATCAGGCTGCTGCTGTCCATCTTCCAGGTCTAGTGAAGGCAGCTAGTGCGTCCTGAGAGGGGCGCTCTGTTTGATGCCGGTAACCCTGCTTCCACGAGGAGTAAGGGAAGTTGGAGTAAGGGAAGTTGGAGGAAGGGCGTGCTCCCCTCGACTTCTTGCAGCGCGGATGGCGCCAAAAGTCGAGTTATGGAGCTTCGATTTCAGCTATGCAATTAACGCAGTAGCTGCGTTCGGCCTTATCCCGTGGTGTAGTCGTACCCAAATCGATACGGTCACGCCCCGGAGTTAGTGAAATCAATACCACTCATGCGACAAACAACCGGAGTACCACCAATTCCAGGATGAGGGTTGCTCCTGAAATCCTGCGCAACAGTCGGAATCACAGCTACTCTACACCCTGGGCCTGCAATTTCAGGGCCTACTAACCCCTCGGCCACTCGCTGCTCTGCTCAGCCGCCAAGTGCTCTCCGAAGAGAAGAGACGGGTCACACTGGCGCAGCAACGTTTCCCCTGGCAGAGGGGCAGCGGCCCGGCCCAGCACAGGGGCTGGAAGACGGACAGTCTGGGAAGTCCAAAAATGCAGCCAGGACTTCTGGGTTCTTGCTCTGCCCCTGCCAGGGGGGCAGGGGCTCTAGTGGGCTAGAGGGGGCTCAGACGCCTGGATTTTAGCCTGGCTCTGGGAGGGCAGTGGGGTCTAGGGAGTTGGGGGGCTGGGAGCCAGGACTCCTGGGTTCTCTCCCCGCTGAGGGGAAGGGAGTGGGAGCTAGTGGCTAGAGAGGAGAGCGGGACTCCTGGGCTCTCTCCCCACCAAGGGGAAGGGAGTGGGGGCTAGTGGTTGGGG